CTCGGCGCCCGAAACGCGCCTCGGGACCGCTATTGAAATCCCTGTCCTGGAGGGCCCGCGCGGGTGGCTTCCTCCTCTTGGTCCGACTCCAGTTCCCGCAGGGGGCGGGGGCGCCGCTGCTGTGTTTTCAGAGCCTGGAGCCGGTCCCTGTGCTTTTCTTCCTTTTCCTTCCTTTCCTGCACGTCAGTAATTCATGTGTGGAATATAGGACTCGCTTCAGCTACCCCCACTCCACTTGACCCACTCGCCACCCTCCCTTACGGGCATCCGCGGAATCCTTACCTGTGTTTGAGCTTTAATTACCAAGATGAGGGCATCGGATGATTGGGGGTGAGGCGGGGTGGCTGTGGGGAGACCTGTGCTAGTGTCCTGGGGAAACAGAATCAGGGAGGTTTGAAACTAACCTTGTAGTTCCGACTCTTAAGAGTTCGGAGGAGCTTTATTTTGCAGTCCTCTGCTCCAAACTTCCATCTAGTGCCCCATAGGTGGACATTCAGACTTTGAGTATTGTCGGTGATGGGGAACTCACTGCAACACAAGGCAGCTTCTTCTATTCTGGGACCTATTGTACTGAATAGTACTGAATAGTACTGAATAAAGTTTTTTTGAGGTAGAAAGTTGCAGTCAGTCTCCATGTAATGCTTAACTCTTGGTCTACATGCTGCATAGAATAAGCACAGAATAGGAAGTTCATGTTCTCTGCCATTCATTCATACATTCAGGGAACGTTCGCTAAGTACAGTAAGGCACATACTGCGGAGTGCTAGGTACTAGCTGAAAGAGGCCTTTTCCCGAAAAAGCACATAGTTTGAGGCGTGGGGGTGGCCAGGAGACGGAAGAGGCAATCACAGAAGTGGTAAGTACCAGTCGAAGAGGTTTGCGAGTATGCACTATAAGAACATCAGAGATGCCCTCCAGTTTAGGTTCGTGTTGCTTTGAAAATGTGATAACTGGAATTGAAGCCAAGGCACCAGAAGTAACATAGTATAGAGAACAGTCGGGATCTCTTGCTTTCGACACAAAATTTCTTTTAATACAGCCCAACCTGTTTAAACAACCACACTTCGCTTTTGGATTGTTTCTGTTTATGAAAGCAACAATAGAAAACATTTATCGATCTAATAAGTTACTCTCTAATGGTGCGGGTGCTATTTTTACTTCATTTTTATAGCCGAGGAAACAGATTCAGGTTAAGTAACTCGCACAAGGTCACAGAGCTGGAGAGAAGTTGGCTTGGGAAACAAGTCCAGTTTGACGTACAGTTTGCTCAGCATCGTGCTGGTTTACCCCACTGATGGTAATTAACGCTAATCACTTACTGGGTGATTCTTGTAATAACGGTGAGGTAAGAGTAATCATTTTTCCAGTTGAAACTGAGGTTTAGAGAGGTTGAGCCACTCAGCCAAGGTGCCTTACTAATCAGTGATGGAGGGAGGATTTCAATCAGGCGCTCTCACCACCTGTGAACTCCCAGCTCACGGGGTACTGTGCATTTGGTGTGAAGTACTGTGTCTGTGATCGACCGTGAGTGAGTGGGAAGACACTTGAGGAAATATGATTATCGTAATTAATATGAAGGTGATGAGAACTTGCTTCTGTCCTTTCAGGATGGAACAAAAGTAGGACTTTTAAAATGGTGCCCAGTAAGAAGAGAAGACCCGCAGTGACCGAGTCCCCACAGCATCAGGGCATCCAGGAGGAGGGTGACCTAGACCTAGAGTGGGCCGATAAACCAGGATCTGAGCAGGTCGAAAGCCTGGGGTCCTCGTCGCTGCCCCAGGGCCTCGAAGCGCCGTCTGTGCAGGACGCAGCGTATCCGCTCGGTGTGGAGGCCCCGTCCTTGAGCTCTGGGCTGCTCACCCAGGACGCAGGGGTGCCAGTGCCAGAAGCTGTCGGCGTGGCCGTCCCTAAGGGCAGCGCCCTGGCTTCCCCGGAGTCCTCCCGGCCCCGTGACACGCACACTGGTAAAGAGAACCTCCAGGCCGCTGGCGCAAAGAGAGGGAAAAAGATGACGCTCAGGCCCCGGCTGGTTCCCCAGGAAGACAGAAGCGACCCTCCCGTCACAAAGGAGCCCTTTCCAGGAGAACCTGGTGAAGACGTCCAGGGGGAAGGTGAGCTGCGCGGGGTCTTCAGGCTGCGTTTCTCTGTCGGTTCTGGGTTGCCGTGGCCTCCGCTGTCGCTGCTGCGCGCTCTGCCTTTACGAGCCCCGAGTGGTCTCACGGGGACTGGTTGGGTGTGGGATCGGGTCAGCGGCGGACTTCGCGAGTGGGGGGACTTCCTTCCCCCGCCCCAGCCCTCGAATCCCCGTCTGGGTTCTTCCCTTTCCTTTCTCCGATCCCGTCAGGTCTGGGGTGGGGTGACCGTGTATGGCCTTCTGTGGCGCGGTGGGTCTGTGCAGTGGGGCTTGCGGAGGCGGGCAGCGGCTTGGGGAGAGGCTGCTGCCGGGGACATTGGGAAAGGCTCCACAGGGATGACAACCCTCAGGACCGAAGGCTGAGCTGCAGTTTGACGGAATGACGGCAGGGGTGTCATGGGCCAGACCGGTCCGGCAGGGGCCCGGGGCGGAGGAGGGTGGCGCCGCAGTGGCGTGGAAGGAGTGGCGGGAGCTGACAGAGTGGCGGCTGTGTTTCCATGCTGCAGGGCTTCGCTTTTCACGCGTGTCCTCGGGGGGACTGGTCCGGTACGGGATGCGGCGTGAACCTTCCCCGTGGGCGATGGCTGGTTCATCGGAGCGGAGGCGTGGGTCTGACCCCCGAAGCGCCCGTCCAGGCGGGGGGACCAGCTCGTTTGGAGCAGTGTCGGGCAGGGTGTGAGTCAGTGCTGGGGTGTGTGGCACAGGCAGTTAGGGTTTTGAAAGTGGAACTTGGGGGTTCGCTAGGTTGCGGGGGTCGTGGGAGCAGTGGACGTGGCGCAGCTCGAGCAGGAAGGGTGGGTGCACCCAGATTATTCCCCTTGAGACCTCATGAAGGATCGGAACAGGATGTCGCCAGCAAGGACGGAGGAGACGGGGTATGTCTTAGAGACAGGACGGAGAAAGAATGTTGCTCGGAGGCCGATGCCTTTTAAGGTACGTGGGTTGGGGGTGATGAAGCATGCCTTAGGACGGGGAAGGTGTGCCAGGGCCAGAGTGAGTCCCGCTTTGGCCGTGTGGCACGTGAGGGACACGGCATGAAGGACAGACAGCCGTCTGCGATTGAGGTGTGCTAGGCGGTGGGACTAGACGTGTTCAGTGTTTGTTGTGGTTCTTTCTGGGAAGGAGCAGGGAGAAGACAGCTGTGCGTCGAGGAAGGTGACAGGGAAGGGAAGCTGAAGAAGTAACGGGAAGACCAGGGGACGGAGGGAGTTTTAGGAGCAAGGGACTTTACTGACACTTTGGTGACGGCAGAGAGAGAAGGGTACTGATGCCCAGGAAACGGTGGCGTTGAAGGCCGGCGATCTCTGAGGGGAGATGTCGGAGAGCTTTTGGGGACAGGGAAATCAGATGCTGGAGTCGACGAGGCAGTGGGGGAAACGCCAGCGGTCGCTTCTGCGGTGGCAGGATGGGAAGTAGCAAGGTGACTGTTTTCTTCAGGCTGCGTCGTATTCGTGACAGGAAGACAGGAGGACCTGGAGGAGAATTCAAGATTAAAGTGCTGGAGAGGAAATGGGTAATTAAATAGGGGTTCAGGGGTACTCAGCTCTCGAGCGGAATCTAGAGATTTTGAAAAAAATCAGATTTATCGGGGTAACATTGGTTAATAACATACACGTTTCAGGTGTACGACTTTATAACACGACATCTGTCTGCTCTTACCACGCGAAGTCTAGCCTCCTTCCGTCACCTTGCACTTGACCCTTTGCCCTCTTCATCTCCACCCCCTTTGCCTCTGGGAGCCACTCTGTCCGTGTCTGCGAGTTCGCCTTTTTGTTTGTTTGTGTTTTGTCCGTTTGTTGCTTTGTCTTCTATCCCACATGTGAGTGAGATCACGTGGTTCTTACCCTTTTCCGTCTGACTTATTTCACGTGGCAAGATTTCACTCACAAGATCCGTCCATGTTGTTGCAAGTGGCGATATTTCACCTTTTTTTGCGGCTGACTTGTAGTCCTGGTATACGTACCACATTTTCTTTATCCATCGAAGGGCACTTGGGGTGTTTCCATGTCTTGGCCACCATGAATAATGCCTCAGTGGGCATGGGCGTACGTGTATCTTGATGAATAAATGTTTTCAGATTTTTCTGGGAGACACTCAGAAGAGGGATCGCTGGGTCATGTGGTAATTCTAGTCTTAACTTTTTTCATGTGGTAATTCTAGTCTTAACCTCCATACTGTTTTCCGTAGTGGCTGCACCAACTTACATTCCCGCCCGCAGTATATGGGGGACCCTTTTCCCCCACAACCTCTCCAACACTTGTTGTCACTTGTCCTGTTGACAGCCATTCTAACCTGTATGAGGTGGTATCTCACGGTGGTTTTGATTTGCATTTCCCTGAATGACTAGTGACATTGAGTGTCTTTTCATATGTCTGTTGGCTGTTTGTGTGTCTTTCTTGGAAAAATGTCTCGGCAGGTTCTCTGCTCGTCTTTCAGTCAGATTGGTGTTTTGTTGTTTAGTTGTATAGAGATATTTTTAATGGTCAGTTTACAGATACCAAGTGTAGATAACTATAAATAAACATCATTTAGGATTATCTGTAATACCACTCTGCTTTATTAAGTTAGGTAATTGAAAGTCGATTCTACCACCTTGCACTTTAGTCGATTTTATATACAAGTAATACCAGTAAAGGAAATATGTGTATATAGAATTTTTTTGCTAGCTAGAAATGGAACATACAAAATAGAAAGGAAGAAAGAAAGATCGAGAATTCATATATGGGCATTTTGTGAAGTATTGAAAAGTTTAAAGAAGAAAATAAAAATAGCCGATAATCTTATTACTCAGAGTAATTACTATTAAAATTTAATGTATATTGTTTTTGTTGTTTTGTTTTCTTTTAAGGAACATTTTAGTTTTCTGATTAGGATTAAAACACTTGGGTTATTTTGAAGTATCAGCATTTTGTGGCAGTTGATATCCTGTCATGTTACGTTTCTAGATTGCAGGTACTAGGGATAAACTTTGCTCTGCATTAGTGTTTATTCCAATAGAATGTTAATGGTTCTCTTAAAATTGATTTATATACCTAATTTCTGCTTAGCTTTTTCTTTCTTTGCCTTCTAAAAACGATTAACTTAGGCTAATTTCAGCTTATAATTAGTTGGTCTGTACAAGTCTCAGCTAATTATTTTCACATTATCAATTTAAACAGCTCTCACATATGCTCTGAATAAGGCGTTTCCTGCTGTCTCTTACCCATCTCTGCTTCCCTTTCCAAGGTCTTTCAGCACCTAGCATGTGGACAGAGGAAAAGAACGGACGGGCCCCAGAGGGGTTCTTCCAGTCGGGCCTTCAGCTGAGAAGCAACGTGGTGGGGTCAGAGAACACAGAGGCTGCAGAGGGGGCAGCATTTTCTCTGGGGGCTTCGTGCAGGACAGTGCAGAGTAGTGCCCGGTTTGTGTCAGGGAGCTAAAGGTGTGGATGGGGGCTCTGCCTGCCAAGGCGAACTTCTGGATTTCCCGTAGATGTAAAGATTCTGGTATGTTTGTTTAAAAAGTCATTTACGTCAGTTCAGTTTTTAAAATGTTAGACATCATTAATTCTAAAAGTGACTGCAGATTGTTGATTAAATGAGAACGCTGTGCCGCGTATTGCTTGGCGTTCCCTCTTATAAGAAACCAGCTGAGGGGGGCTCCTGACTTGACAGATCCTTGTCACACTGTCTCCAGTAAAGTCCGAGCCTTGAGGCATTTTGACATCGTGAAGGAATCACGGCTCCAGAAGTAAAGGAAGGAACATGGAAAGTAAATGCCATTGAGGATTGGTTCATGCTTTTAAATAAAGGCTTTTTTTGTCGTTAGAGGGGAGGACCCTCCAATTTCAAACCGTAATCGCGCCAGTTGGAACCGCTCATATTGATGTAAAAAAGTGTAAAGGCTGTCTGTCTTGAATAGAGCTCAGTGACAAATAACTTGATCTCTTTCGAAAACAAATTTTTTTTCCGACTGTGTAATGAAGAAACCTGGAAAAAAATTCACAAATACAGGAAGTACACAGTGGAAAGCTAGGCAGCCTTTCTCTCTGTCCTCCTGTCCCTCCCAGCCTCTTCTCGAAAAGTCACCATTCACCTGCCCCCAGTGTACATGCCACGGGCGTCCTGGGCATGCACGGGCCTGTGTGTTCTTCCCACGTCGATTTTAATGTTCGCTTGGGTGCTGCATGGATGTTTCTTTGCCTTTTTAGTGCCCTCCCCCCAAAAAAGGTAGCTCTCATTAAGAGTCGAGGTGAGAAAGGGGGAAGTTGTCTAATGAACTGTGAAACTGTGTTTTGATGATTTTACGGTGATTTTTACTGCGTTATAAAATTGAATTACAGCATCAGAAAGTTCAGGACGTTTTATGATACATATCATCGATAGTTGTTTAAATGAGATGATAATAATTGTCTATATAAAGTGTCCCTTTGTCATTGGGACTATAGTCACCCACCCTATGGTTGTGAATCTCATTTTCCATAGGGAAAAAAATGTGTAGCTCAAAGAGTATTAGAACTGGAAAAACCTTAGCAAGTACCTGCGTCAGGTCCCTGACAGCACAGGTGAGTGAGTGTTCTTCGGACGCTGCCCTCTCGGGAGAGGCATGTCGGTGCCCGATGCCACCCCTGGCGCAGTGACCTCACCCAGGGGCTTGTGGCCAGGGTCGGGTCACTTCGCAGTGCGGCTGAGAACCGAGGTGTGAAGTGGCATCTGTGTCCTTCCAGGCAGGCCTCAGGCGCATTCTGGAGGGGCGTTACCGTGGCTGCAGGACAGCCAGCCCGCGAGGGGAGCACAGCCCAGGCCGTCAGCTCAGCCCGACGTTCGCGCCCCTCCCCCAGAGAAGCCACTCGGGATGTGTGCGCGCCAGGCCGAGGAAGAGGGAGAGGACGGTGGACTCTTCATTCCGATGGGTAGGCCTCCTTTTTCTTCCCTTTAAAAAACGGACCCTCTGTTGCTGTATAACACACCGAAAGCTGCACCTGTCCTAAGACACCCGAGTTCACTGAGTTCTCAGAGATGGACTACACCCGTGCACGCAGCAGGCGGGTCAGGAAGCAGGGTATGTCAGTGGCCGAAAGTCCTCTGTTTCAGCTGTGACCGCCACCCTACCCACGGCAGCCAGGTCGACCCATCCGGCTGTGACTGCCTTTCCCACGCCACACTGTGTCTGCGAAGTCGGTGCACGTCGGTGCACGTGCCTGGAGGCGGGCGACTTCCATCCCGCGTGGTACCCTGCTGTTTGAGGGTCGGCACCTGCTTTGTCCACTGGGCTGCGGTGGGCGTGCGGCGCTTTCCGGGGCGGGCTGCTCCGCGTGCCGCTGCCGTGGGCGTCCCCGCACACGGCTCTTAGGAGCACATGCACTTAATTTTCGTTGGGTGGAATCGATGAGGCCTCCTTAAAATGTTTTTTAACGTCTGTATTTTTTATTGGGAACTCTAGCACCTGCAGGCAGGTGAATAAAGGCTTCTTTATTCAGCTTAACAAATGCCTTTAAAGTGAGCACTTACGAGTTCTCGTTAGCATTGCGAACACTAGACGTCCGGTGCCGGGCAGGTTCTAGCAGGGGTAGTGACGTCCGCGGCTTTTGGACTTGGGGAAGGAGTTCAGTCGTCCTCCGTCATTGCAGGCAAATATCTGTACTTTACAAAAGAAGAGAATGAGACTCTTGCCCCGGTGAGCCAGCCGCGTTGTCGGGCTCGGCTCGGCGCGGCTCTGCCATTACTGGTGCGCAGGGACCTTTCCTCTCTCTTTGCCTCGGTTTCTCCATCTGTCCAATGGGAAGAAGCGTAGTCCCTGCCTCCCACAGTGGTTGTGAGGGCGAGTGGGTCGCCACGGATGCTCGGCGAGTGGGCGTCTCACCCCCGCGGCAGTCCCCCGCCGGCACCACCGCGTCCGCGTCCACCTGGCCCTCCAGGGCCGGACAGCTGGCAGCTCGTTTGTCTGTTACTGTGTTGGGTTTTGGGGTCAAGCTCGGGGAGCAGTTTTAGAGATTCTGATGACGTCCTTGGTGTATCTGCAGAAGAGCAAGACGATGAGGAAAGTGAGAAAAGGCACAAAAAGAAAAAGGGGACCAAGAGGAAACGCGACGGAAGGGGTCAGGGAGAAGGGACTTTGGCCGATGACCTGAAGCTGGACGACGTGCTCGACCGCACCTTGGAGGATGGCGCCAAGCAGCACAACCTGACGGCGGTCAACGTGCGGAACATCCTGCACGTGAGTGGGCCCCGCGGCGGCGGCGGGTGGCGGGGTGCACGTGGGAAGCGCGTGGCAGCGCCCGTGGCTCCTGACTCGCGCCGTGGGAATCACTGGTCCTGAGCCGCCTGTGGCAGAACGTGGGGCGTTTCGAGGTCGCTTTCGTTAGGCGCTCAGCACTGGTGAGCTCCTAGCGCACGTTCAGGAACAACTTAATTGGAAGGTGCTTCCTGTCACTGATTTGTGGTTGTGTTGTTTAGCAGATTCCAGATGACACTATTGACACTGGATTTGCGCTTTTGTGGGCTATTTGTCTGAAAAGATGCCCAGTTTGCAGTCCTTTGCACATACGCAAATACTTTTCTTCGATATGTAGCATCACGTTGTTTACAAAGCCTTTGTTGTTTATTACCGTTTCTCTTAAGCATGTAGTTACCTCACAACCTCTTTTTATGAAAGCCATTCCTGTTCCCCAGAGCAGCTGATGAGCTGCGTCCACGTGCTGCCACTTTGTTCGAAGCCGTGCGCTTCTGTCCAAAGGTGCCTCTTCGCTTCCACTTGCCCGTCATCACCCCTGCCGAGGCCGTTTGAGTGTCTCGCAGAATTACAGAAATGGCTGTTCGCTAGGTGACGCATCTTTGTTGCATAAAGTGAACTTCCGTCTTTCTCCAGGAAGTGATCACAAATGAGCATGTGGTGGCGATGATGAAGGCAGCTATCAGCGAGACGGAAGACATGCCAATGTTTGTGAGTAGTCGGGTGTCCTTCTGGTGTCATGGGCGGGCCACCTGTAAACTGGCTGTGTGGAGGTGGCCCCTTGGGAGTCTGTAAGTAGTTTGACGGTTGGGGACCAAGGTAGCATCTCACAACCCGAGAATCACACGATGGTTTCACTGACTCTCTTCTTCTCCTTTTCCCCTCCTTAGGAGCCCAAAATGACGCGCTCGAAACTTAAGGAAGTGGTGGAGAAAGGAGTGGTGGGTGTTCTGTTTCTTCTTTATTTGTTTAGCTTGGTAAATAAGATGTAATTTCGGGTAATTTTTAGGGAAAAGATAGAGGCAAGATTTATTGTGTGGGTTTGCCTTCTTAGAGATTCGAGAAAGACAAGCGGAGACATTGTGTGACATCATCATGGTTCATTTTCGTTTCAGTTGGTTTGGAAGTGTTGCGTTTTTGGAGGTACTAGGTAGACAGCCATTCAGAGTGGTGGAGAAGCAGTGGGAGGTCAGTTTTTCTCCATGTCACGAGGTAGCGGGCAGGGTGACAGTCGTGTTTTTTCAAAGTGCACATTCTCAGGCCTGCCTCGGACCTAGGAACTTGGACCCGTGGGCGGGCCCGGGGACCTGCACGGTCCGAAACACTGCTGCTGGTTTGATGCGGAGAGCCCGCTACACCCTGCCTAACGAGCACTGGTCGGCTTTGCGCGCCCCTTCCGTGGCAAGGCAGGCGGTGGTCTGAGGGAGCCCATCCTGCCTCTGATAGCAGGGAGCATGGATCCAAAATGCCCGGTGTGGTTTTTGTCTGTCTGTCCAGTTCTGTTCCTTGCAACTCTAAAGAAGAAATAAGGCTGTCCCTCTTCCATGGGACCTTTCCTCTCGCCGAGGAAACTGCTGTGTGTTGTTGTAACGTTCTTTTCTTGCTAAACGTCCCCCGGCTTTTGACTGGACTTTATGTGACAAGGCTTTGCGCACCTTCACCCGTCTGATCCTGGTCTTCCGAATGGGCCTGGCTTGTCTGTACCTTTCAGAAGTCCACCTCACGCGATCCTGCTGCTCCCGTTTAACTAGTGCGGATTAAAGTTAGGCCTCCTCAGTGTTTGGGTACCCCGTTTCTCTCCATGCAGCCTACGGGCGTGTGGGCTTTTCTGACAGCGCATTATGTATTTTTTGTTTAGGCTTTTCTGACAGCGCATTATGTATTTTTTGTTTAATGGACTAACCCTGGTTGTGTAACGTGAAAAGTCATTTTTCCGCGGGAAGTACGCAAGTGAACGTGGTGGTGGTGACAAGCAGCCGTCACTGAGACGGACTTGCAGGAAGTCTGTCTGACGCAGAGCGTGGATTAACATTAATTCCATACTCAACTTGGAAAAAAGACCGAGGAGACCCCGTCAGGCCCTGGATGGTGTCTGCCGACCATGCATGTGGGCGAGGAGAAGCCGGGCCTCCCGAGACCACAGTGTGCGTGGAGAGCAAGAGCGGAGTCCAGGGCTCGCTCCTCATGCTCAGCAGGCCGGGCTCGCCCGCCCGCCCGCGGCTTCGGCAGCAGGGCAGCTGCTGCGGAGCAGATGTGGGCGGGGCAGGGCAGGGCCCCGAATCCCGCCCTCCCCTGTGCCCTCCCGGGGTGGGCCCAGCCAGGCACAGCGGGTAGGCGGGCAAGGACCTGATGCTCTCGCAGACACAGAGCCTCCTGGCCTTTTAGGTTTTCTTGTTCATAAGATGATTTAGATTGGGTCACAAATGGTCAAGAGATTATGCACTCCCATGACATTCGTTAGCAGTTTAAAGTTAGGAACTTGAAAAATATCTTTAGTCTATAGTCACGCCACCCTGAACACGCCCGATCCCATCTGATCTTGGAAGCTAAGCAGGGTCGGGCCTGGTTAATACTTGGATGGGAGACCACCTAGGAATACCAGGTGCTGTAGGCGTTAAAAAAACAAAATCTTTAGAAAACGTTTCCTCCCCAACTCTACTGTTTTAAACATACAAAAAGTTGAAAGCGACTCGAGATTCCATCTAGATTTAACAGTTGTGATCTTCGGCCATGTTTGTTTTATGTCTCTCTATATCTGTCATTGTTTTTTCCTGAACTATTTGAAAATAAGTTGTAGACAGCTAGACACTTACCCCCGAATCATTTCCTAAGAATGTCTTGGGCCGGCTTTTTGGAGGCATGCTCATGGCGGGATTTACGTCATCGACTAACAAAATACTGATGTCAGAAGGCTACTGTTACTTACAACATTGTACGTTTGTCCACTGTTTTAGTTTATAGTTTTCACATTCATTATTCTGTGTGAACCCAAGATGTGCATGACAGATACTTTTTTTATAAATGACACTGAGTCTTATGAGGTTTACATCAGAAGCGCTAGCGATAGAGATAGGTTCTTCTCTCCTTTTCCTCCATGAGGCTTTGACAGATACTGAAGCGTATACCTCAGGGACAGTCAGCACCCCTAGCTCACTGCAGCCCCAAGTTAGGTAGATGGCTCTTTGTGATGGTAAAGAGGAATTAAAAAAGAAAAAGTCTGTTTCAGTTAAGGGAGCTTAATTATTCATATTCTTTGTTGGTAGGTAATTCCAACATGGAATATTTCGCCAATTAAGAAGGCCAATGAAGTTAAGGTAAATTTGCAAGAGGTTATTCTTATTCTTTTCCAGAACGACTTGATCAGTTTTGGAACCTGAGCACTTCCTTTCTGTTCGTTAGCGTTTTTTGGGACGTTTAACTTTTAAAACTCAAGCTTTGGGTTTTCCATTCTGTTACTCTTAGATTTGACTCTCTGGCCAGGAATCTCTTTAACCCCTGCTTCTTGTTACTTGCTTTAGCTCATTGTGCTCTTAGGATTTTTTCCCCTGCTCTGGCTCTGCCTTTTCTGCCCTTACTTTCCGGATCCATCTGGTTTATGTTTCTTCTTCATTTCTTTCTGTAATTGTCCCTGCGTAGCCTCCTCAGTTTGTGGACATCCACCTTGAAGAAGACGACTCCTCAGATGAAGAGTACCAGCCAGACGACGAAGAAGAAGACGAGACCGCCGAAGAGGTCAGTGGTGGCCCTCGTGAGTGTTAGTGCGTAAGACGGGAAAAGTTTGGCTCAGTCAAGCAGAGTGTGTTTTGCTTCCTCGGTGCGCACCGCCGTCCATTCTCTAGAGCGAGACGCAGCTCTCCCTTCTGCTGACTCTTGGCATAAATGCAAGGCTGCGAGATGCTTGCTTTTCACACTCCCTGAATTTTTCCACATCTCCTCTGATGAGATACAGCATGCCTGTGACATGCAGAGCTGCGCATAAAACAGTTAAAATGCACAGCTAGTTATAAAGCTCACCCACACGAAACATCCTTCTAAAATAATTAAACAGCGCTGCCAGGACACCCCTTATTCGCCCTTCCTACTCAAAATTATTTCTCTCCCCCCAAGGATGACCCCTGTCCTGACTTCGGGTAATTACTTCCTTGTTTTTCTTTATAGTTCTATCACCTAAATGTGCAACTCCACACTCTAGAGTTCAATTTCTCACTGTTTTTGAACCTTACATGAATGGACTCACAGTGTATGGATTCTTTTGTGTCTGACTTTTTTTTTCGTTCAATATTAATCTTTTGAGATTCATCTCTACTGTTGCTGGTAGCCATAGTTCATTTTTGTTGCTGTGTAATAATTCTATTTCTTAATGTATTCTTTGACTCGTTTGTAAAAGGAGTTTAAATGAACGCTTACAGTTTTACAAAGTTTGCAGTGCTGTTCAGAATATTAAGCTGCTCTTTAAATTGTATTTTCTCTTACTCTGAGTAATTGAGTGAGTGAGATTTTGCGATTCATTCTCTTGAGATACTTCAGACTCGGTGGAATGGGGTTGAGGCATACATTTACAAGCGCATTGGATTTGTTTTGTAGAGTTTACTGGAAAGCGATGTTGAAAGCACTGCTTCGTCTCCACGTGGGGCGAAGAAATCCAGACTGAGGCAGTCTTCGGAGATGACGGAAACCGACGAGGAAAGTGGCATGTTGTCAGAGGTGACTGCTTCATACAGGAGAGATAAGTTGCAGCTGCACGAGCGAGTTATTTGCCGTGGCGACCCTGAGCGGCCACCGTTGTCCAATGTGACTCCAGGTCAGCGACCGTGCGGCGCCCTCCTGGTGTTCCTGACCGCTTAAAGCGGTTTCCTGTTCAAGTCTCCCAAGTCCACGAGCATTTAAGAGAAAAGTAAACGCAGCGCAGGGAGAGAGCTTTTCCGAGTTCTCGTGGAGGGGCCGCGTACGAGTGACGAGTGGGTTTCTTTTCTTCCACGCATCTCTTTTTCATGCCTGTTTTCTTGTATTGTCCTAAAGCCACTTGTATCAGGTTCCTTATTTTTGGTACAGAGTAGCATCCCGTTGGCTTCGTTGGAAATAGGGTGAAACCCGATTACGTCAACATCCGCGATAGCGCCTTCGTTTTAATTTCCCTCCATCTGCATGGGAAGAGGAAGGTCACTAGCACACGATGTGCCTCCCCCTGCCTCTTATTTTTTAACACGCTCCCCTCTCTCAATCAGGCCGAGAAGGTGACCCCGCCGGCCGTCAGGCACATCAGTGCCGAGGTCGTGCCCATGGGCCCCCCGCCGCCGCCGAAGCCCCGGCAGACCAGGGACAGCGCCTTCATGGAGAAGCTGCACGCGGTGGACGAGGAGCTGGCCTCCAGTCCTGTGTGCATGGATTCCTTCCAGGTGAGCAGTGGCCTCAGTCGCCGAGAACGCCAGGCGGAGCAGTCTGGCTGTTGCTCAGGTTGGGCAGTGGGAGAGGGGAAGGAACCGAATTCCGACAATGAGGAAAAATTGTGAAGTCGTAGGTCTTTGGTACCCCGTTTGGTTCGTGCTGTTTTGCTGTGAGGATGGCGGCTCCTGTGTGACAGACCTCAGCCGGACTCCCCCAGATCCTCTTTCCCCCCCTTCTCTCTCTGCACAAACATTTGCTCTAGTGCGCGCACCCTAACAGTGGGGACGTGGCTCTGAGAACAAGGGTGCAGTGACGGCGTCTTGTCTGGTAGGGTCCTGATGTAGATTTTACCAGTTGTCCCAGTAACGTCCTTTATGGCAAAAGAAAAAAAAATCTTTCCCGATCCAGGATCCAATCTAGGATTTCACGTTGTGTTAGCGATCTTATCTCTTAGTCTCTTTTAAATTACAACAGTTTCTCAATCTTTGTTTCTCAGAGCCTTGAACATTTTAAACCTCGTAGACCAATTATTTTACAGTGCTCCTCGATTTTGGTATTTCCTCGTAATGAGATTCGGGTTATGCACTCGTGGCACAGGCAGCATAGAAGTGACGTGTCCTTTTCCGTGCTTACTGTCAGGAGGCACGTGACATCTGTCTCGTTAATTTTGATCGTAGAGTTAAAGTGGTGTCTGTTTGATTTCCTCATTATAAAATTATCACTTTTCCTTTTTGGAATTAATTAGTGTGTTTCTTGGGATATGTTTTGAGCCCAAGCATCTTTCCGCTCACTGACTTTGGCCCCTGTTGCTTTTCTTGAGCGGAACATCTTGACCATCACTCCGGTCGTCATCAGGTGACGTTCTCAGCGCCATCATTTTGCCAGTTCTCTGTACGTTCCAGGTTCTTCCCCCACGTCTTGTAGGTCAGCGAAAAACATGTTTGTCCTGAAATTGGGAAAAAGAGTATTGAATGGAACAGCTCTGTCACAGGTCACTTAATTCACTCACCCTTCCCTGGAGCGAGCGCGCCATCGTCTGGGGGGTTAGTGGTGTTTTATATAACCCTCGATTCCCACACACGTGGAATGATCTGACGTTGGGAAGCAGCGGCGTGAGGCAGAAGAGGCCTTGGCGCTCATAGTCTGTTGGAGAGAGAGACAGCAGACACATAGGTGACTACGAGTGGTGGCCAGTGCTATGAACTCAGTGGAAACCAGGAAGTAGAGTCGTGTCCATGAGAGCACTCTACGTAGGACGTCAAGAAGGACCTCCCAGAGTGGATGATGTGTGAGCTGAGCTCTGAATGAGAAGAGGGGCAGGTCTGTTGGGAGCTCGCTGCAGCCGTCGGGGCCTTTGGAATCCGTTTGCAGATTCAGCCAGTCCCTGTCCCAATCCCAGCTGCTTTTCAGTTTTTTGGTTTTTTTTTTCTTGTCGTTGCAAAAATCGGCAAGTTCATTCTAAAATTCGTGTGGAAATGCAAGGGACCCACGGTAGCCAAACCAATCTTTAAAACAACTCACAGTATCGGAAGTATGTACTTCGTGATTTCAAAAGTTACTGCAAAGTTAAAATAATCTAAACAGTTTGGTACTGGCACAAGAATAGACATAGATCGATAAAACAGGATTCGGAGCCCAGAAATAAACCCCGACATTTATGGTCAGTTGATTTTTGACAAGCGTGCTGGAGCCAATTAATGAAGCAGGAACAGACTTTAACAAATGGTACTGGGGCAGCTGGAAATCCACATGTGAAAGCACTAGGTTGGACCCTTACCTCCCACCACATACAAAAACTAACTCAAAATATGTCATTGACATAAATGTAAGAGTTAAAACTGTAAAACTCTTAAAGAAAACACAGGAGTCAATCCTGTTGACCTCTGATTAGGCAGTGGTTTCTTAGGTAAACGCCAAAAGCACAAAGTGACACACAAAAAATAGATACATTGGACTGATCAGAATTAAAAAGGTGTCCTTTTGTGCTTCAGAGGATACCATCGAGTGAAGACAAAGCGAAGACAGCCCGCGGAATGGGGGGACATGATCGCAAGTCACATGTCTGAAAAGGAACTTGTATCCACACTACATGATGAACTCATAACTTAATAATGAAAACACAACCCAATTCAGGAACAGGCGGAGGACAGATGGGAGGGGGTGGGGAAGACGGGTGACGGGGAAGGGTTACGATGTACCGATTGCCAGTTATAAACACAGGGGCGGGAGGTAGAGTGCAGCGTGTGGAACGCAGCCCTCTGTGGGATCCCGCCGCCACCCCCGCCAGGGCGGGCACAGCGAGCGAGCTGCTCCGTGCCGTGTGCTGGCGGCAGTGAGAGGCGGGAGGCCACCGGCCTGGCGGTGCAGCCGCTTCAGCCTGGCGCTTCCGCAGAACCCAAGCAGAGGACCCAGCGGTGCCGCCTCAGGACAGGGGGACACTCGTCCCTGTGGGGGTGCCGGCACGCTCAGGTGCGTCAGCTCACAAACGAGCAGCCAGCGTGGCGTGTCCACGTGGTAGGCTGTTGTCCTGCAGTAGAAAGGGACGGAGGGACACAGCGCACACGGGAGGCACTGAAAGCGCTGGGCTAGCTGAAGCCGGAGACGAAGGCCGCGTGGTGCGCGATTCCGTTGACGTGAAGTCGCCAGCGTGGGCAAATCCACAGACACAGCGCGGGGCTTGGTGGCTTCCGGGGGCCGGGTGTGGGGAGGGGCTGCTGATGAGAACTCACACGACTCCGAGTACAGCAGTTCCACTCAGTTTCACACTTTAAAAGGGTGAGTTTTGGTGTATAAATGATACCTTAGTAAAGCTGTCATAAACGTTCCTGAAATAACTGGATTTAAAACTGATGCCGCAAAAATAAATAAGTAAATAAGTAAATAAAACCGATGTTCCTGTCCTTAAAGTGTCCCAGACAGAGAACAGTACACCCACAGCGCTCAGACACGAGGCCCACGGCGTGAGCCAAGGAGAGACACGCACAGGCTCTGAGGCGGTGTGGGGTCTGGACGCGCGGGGCCTCCGGTGACATGCTTTTCTCTCCCGCGGCCAGCCCATGGACGACAGTCTCATTGCGTTCCGAACGCGCTCTAAGATGCCCCTGAAGGACGTCCCCCTGGGGCAGCTGGAGGCGGAGCTCCAGGCTCCGGACATCACCCCCGACATGTACGACCCCAACACAGCGGATGACGAGGACTGGAAGCTGTGGCTCGGGGGGCTCATGAGCGACGACGTGGGGAATGAAGGTTGGCAGCCGCGTTGGCATTTCTTGTCTGTTCTGTTCACTGTCTCTGGGGTAACGATTTTATCAGCAGCCTAAAGAAGGGATGTTTTTGTTTAATTGAATTTAATTTTGTACTCGACCAACAATTTGCTTTAAATCAGCAGTTAAATTCCCCTTTGTTTTGGTCAAGAACCTTTTTGGGGATCTTTTGAATGCTAGGCATCCTCCTCCGAAACGTAGGGCGCTCACAGTTTCGTACACCGTCCGTGAGCGCGCCCTGACTCACACTGCTGTGTTAGCCGAGGTTCTTCGTGACGCGAGGGAAAGAATCCCAGCCCTCCGCTTGCAGAAGTCAGATGAAGCCAGACTTCGCGGAGGGCAGGGACACCTGCCGTGGGCCGAGGCCCTGTCAAGGCCCTGCTTCCCTCTCCCCAGCGTTTGTCTCTTCTGCTTTGCTCAGTCAGCTCCATTCTCCAGCCTGCGTTTTTCTGGAAGGTCGGGGCCGTGCTCATAAGCACACTGTTCACTTCTCGCCTTGTCTCCTCATCAGACGGCCTCTCTGCAGGCTCCAGTGGGAAAAGTCCAGGGCAGCACTCAGATTGGCTTGGTCGGATTTCATGGCCGCTCTCCATGTAGCGTAGGCTTGGCTGGGAGGCGCAGCGTGGGCCCCGTGATTGGCAGCTCCTCGTGGAGGAGTGCATTTGGGGTGGGCAGCCACTTGGGAGAAGCCATAGTGTTCCCGTGAGTGGGGGAGGGGTATCAGTCAGACAAGCTCATTGTCCTTCTGACTTTCCTCAGTGGGGATGACCAGAGTATTTTTATGTGTTGTGCTGTAGAAGAGACACATGTTTTAAAAAGAATTTGTATAACCGAGGCAAGGTCAAGGTCTTCCTTGCATTTTTATGTGAGCAGAGTCATCCGCCATCTGTCTCACTACCATCTGTAGCCAAGGTCATTGCTCCCATGTCTGGATCAGATCCTGTCAGATGTGACTGTCAGATGTGACATTGCTCCCATGTCTGGATCACATCCTGTCAGATGTGACTGCAGACACCTTGCAAGCACACCTGTATTCCTGTGTCCTGAGCCCAGCTACCATGAGATAGGTGTTGAAAGGAACGATGCTTTCAGATAAACAAGGGAGTGTACAGTTTGGGCGGACACAGACCAGGTAGACGTTTGGGTAGGTCAGACCAGGAGTAGTGGGGATAAGTGATGCTGTGTTGTGCTTTGTCACGTGTGTGTTGAGCACTCGGACTGTCACGTGTTTATGTTGTGTGTGTGTCCACTGCTTCACATAAGGCGTCATAATTTGTTCCCTAATAACGGGGGCGGGGGTCATTCCTTTCTTCACTGTCAGTGCCTTTGTGAAAACAGTTTTACAAAGGTATTTTCATGAGGTGCGCCACTCAGAGCGGGTTTACTGAGGCAAATGATAGGTTCAGTTTTCCGGCTTTTGCTGCATTTTGAGAGATTTAAGTCTTGTTTGAAGGAAGAAACTTGGCTTATTGGAGAGAACAGGTGAGATGAGTCAGCTGTGGGAAATGATCTGTGCAGAGGAAAAAAACGTGACTTAAAACCTGGAGAATAAACAAATGTGCTTTATTGAAACAGATCTCGTAGTGCTGAGTATCTTAAGTTTCACTAGAGGTGAGAGTTCAGAGGCCGTTTGTCTGAGACGTTTTTCCTCCTAGACGAGGCAGATGACGACGACGACCCAGAGTATAACTTCCTGGAGGACCGCGACGAGCCGGACACGGAGGACTTCCGCACTGACCGGGCCGTGAGGATCACCAGTGAGTCGCATCTGTGCGCGTCCGCTCGGCTGCTGCTTGGCTGTTGCTCGGCCGCCTGTTTCCTTCGTGGAATTTTTAGGGTGAAGCGTGTAGCCCTTGTAAGCTACGGCATTTAAGCTCCCTCTACTGATTTAATTCAGTACTTCTCTAAATTTAGGTGTGTGTTCGGGAGGCCCATTCCTACAGCCCATAGTCACGGGTCGAGCCAGGCTTTGGGGCTTGTTTTTAGGAAACCAGAGTGAGACATGGCCTCTGCTCCGTGGGACGTCAGCTCAGTAAGGGAAAAGTTCCAATGCAGAGTGACAGGTGACGCCCGGGGTTGTGTGTAAGGTGCACTAGCGGCACACTCGTGTATGTGTGGAGTTAGAGTGGAGGGGAAGGGGTACGCGGGGCGGGAGGTCTCGTCTTAGTTCTGAAGGAGAGGGCGGGCCAGACGCACCCTGTACCTCCAGCCCCCTGAATGCCGTGGCTTCCAGGCCTCTCGTCACCCATTGCGTCTTTCTTCGGGTTTTAGTCTTTATTATTTTTAAATTTCTTTCTCATTACATTTTACTATAAAACTTTTCAGACATATAGAAAAGTTGAAAGAATTGTACAGTAGACACCCATATACTCACCACCTAGCTTCTGAATTAACTTTTAATACCTTTACTTTGTCACTCAGTTATCTGTCTCTCTATCTATAAACCCACGATTTTTTTATGCATTTCGGAGTGAGTTATAGATATCAGTACATTTTGCTCCTAAACATTTCAGCCTGCGTATCGTGAATTAGAGCTCAATATTTATTTATAATTTCTCTTTTAAGGTAGATTTATACACAGTCGTATTACACAAATGTTAAATGTGCCACCCAGTGAGTTTCGACATGCTTACACCTGTGTAAGCCAAACCCCTGTCAGGATATAGAATCGTCAGCCCAGAAAGTTTCCCCGTGCCCCTTCCAAGCCAACCCCCGCACCATCCCCCTGGGGGAACCACTGTTCCGGTTTTTTCCCATCACAGACGAGATTTGCCTGTTTCATGACTTCATATAGCTGGAGTCATACAGTGTGTGCTCTGTTGTTTGAGGCTTTTGCACTCAGCATACTATTTGTGACATTCGTCCATACTAAACGTATCATTAATTGGTTCCTTTTTACTGCCAAGTAGGATTCTGTTGTATAAATACACCAGTTTGTTTTTTACTTATCCCCAGGTGTTGGATGTCCGGTCACTTCTTGATTTGGGGCTATTTTGAACCTTTTTGGTTAGGCCTTTGTAGACGGATGTTTTATTTCTCTTGGGTTAGCTATCCAGGGGAGGAACCATTGGTCAGAGGGTGAATGTGTGCTTCGTTTTATAAGAAGTCGCCAGGCCTTTTACCGAAGCGGCTGTCCATGTCCCAGTCTCACTGGAGTTCCAGTCGCTCCATGTCCCCATCAGCATTTCGATTTCAGCTTTTTAATGCCTCTCGAAGGGCCTGTGTAGAGACGGGCCCCGCGCTTAGACATGGCCTGGCACCCTGCTCCGGTCGCTCGCACGCTTGCCTTCCTGGCCATGAGCAATGTTTTGGAGCAGCTGTGTCATAGTGAACTTTAGTCAACCAAAGCATTCAGATCTTTTTCAGATGAATTGGTTTTGAGCCATGTCACCTTTTTGTGCACTTAAGAAACTGAGTTTTTAAACCCTAAGTGTAAGACTTTAAATTTATGTCCGTGGCGATCCATCCAAACAGTGTGAGAACGTGGGATTTTGAATCTCATCAGCTGGTCTGCACTCCCTTCCAGCTTCCAGTCGTTGACAGGTTTGATAGGTGTGTTTCCCAGGCCTTCTGGGTCGTTGACAGTTGCCGAACAGTTCGGGTGCAATGGCAGAGGCCCCTGACACGGCTCGAGGCTTCTCTCTTGACTGCATTCGGACAGGTCAGCAGATGAGCTCATTGTGCTCTGGGCTCATCGAGCTGGCGTTGGATGCGCGCCCCCCACTAGGACGCGGGCTCCGTGGGAGCATGACTGTGCAGCGCTGCCACGCGCCCCGGGCACGCCGGGCGGGGCTGAGGCGGAGCGGTGTGCAGCAAACGCTTCCTGTGAGCGAGTGAGACAGACGTGAGGATGTTGTCAGGCGCTTTGCCGGAGACAACATGCATTGTCTCCTTGGAATTCCCCCGTATTGAAAAATGAAACCAACTTGTGCCAACAACATACCATTCGGCTTTTTTTTTTTTGCAGAAAAGGAAGTGAACGGACTGATGGAAGAGCTGTTTGAAACTGTAAGTAATGCTCTTCAAGTGCGAGGTCGGGATGGCGAACGTGGGTTCCCCAGCAGGCTCTGTGCTTCGGTCCCCGGCCCTGCCTCCAGAGGGACGGTGGGACCCAGCAGTCCCCGTTCAGCCCTCCCAGGGGAGAACAGACAGGCAGCAGAATTTCGCTAACTGACAAACTTTGCTTACCCTTATTTTGGTTATTCTTGGTGAGGATTTCCTTGCAAACTTTGGATGGCCCCCCAAGTGTCGCTCGATGCACCCTTGAAGATGGCAGACTAGTTTTAGATTCTTCTGAGCACAGAGCGACCTTTCTCACACGTTTGTGTCTTGAAGCTTGTTTACGATCATCGCGCGTTGCCCGGGCTCTGTCCTTGCCACTGACAGCTGGCTGTGTGGGCGCTTCCCCGGGCGCTAGAGTCCGCGTGCCCGTGCGCGGGGCGCTGGGGCCTGCTGCACTGCGGCCCCTTGTGCTGGCGTCGTTGGCGTCCCTAAGCCGTGCTCCCGACGGCGCCGGTGACGTCCCAGGACGACCTCCCTTTCCTTCCCCCCAGTTCCAGGATGAGATGGGCTTCTCCAACATGGAAGAGGACGGCCCGGAGGAGGAGGGGCGTCCGGCCGAGCCTCGGCCCACCTTCAACACCCCGCAGGCCCTGCGGTAGGCTCGCCAGACACCTGGAAACCTAGAGTGGAGGAGGGTGGGCGTCTGAGAAGGTTTTCAGACGTGTCCGTGGGTTTTCCACCGCCCCTTTCCTGCTGTTTCCGTTACGGGGCGCAGAACCCTGTGGGGCGCGTGGTGTCACGTGGGTGAGTCTCCTTATCATGGGGCAGTGCAGCTGTAGACTGGGCTGCGTCTGTTTGGGAAGGGAGAAAAAACAGTAGCTGGCACCCGTCGCAGCTTCTCCAGGTGAACGGTGCTGGAGAGGTGCAGGACTCTGTGTGGCCAGCCACAGACACAGCCCAAATCGTCACGTCCAGCGTGTCCCTTTGTTCTCGTCTGCTGTCACCATCTGGTAAATGGTAACGAAAGTTGGTTAGTCATCTGGGCATTTGTGGAGCAAACCACGAAGCGCCTGCAGTGATGCCCTGGAGCGCGGAATGGCTCTGCCCTCCCGAACGTGCCGCTTCTCGCCCCTCCCGCAAAGCGGAGGCTTTACTTTTCCCCCGTTTTTGTGATGGGCTTGCATAATTGGTCTGTACGTTACTGTCACCCATTCTGAGTAGCAGCAGAGTTCAGGGTGTGGATTATGCCATGGATGGAACAAAGCAAAGCTAAGAGAGCCCCGTCCTCTGATGAGTCCTGCGTTTTAACGGGAGAGCGTGGGACTCTGCAAGCTAGACCGTCAGGAGCTCGCAGTTCAGTGAGCAGTGTAAACGCCAGCAGTATCGGCCGTGCTCCGTGACAGTAAATGCCGTAATGTAATATAAGTACAACAAAAAAACTCAAGATTTCTTTTTGTGCAGCTTTATTGAGGTTTAATTGACAGAGCTGTAGAATATTGAAAGTGGACAACACGATTATTTGATATGCGTAGACGTGGTCAAAGGACCCCCCACTGAGTTAGATGACACTTTTGTCACCTCCCACGTTTCCTTTTAGAACCTTTTCAGGGTTTCTAAGAGTCTGTTTGACCCACTAACTGCAAGCCATGATTCAGAGCAAAATGCTGGTGCCGCAGGTAGAAGCCTCCTGCTGGGGTCCCCTGACCACCTCCGTGCACGAAGTTTTAAAATTTGGGGGTGACGTAACTCGTTTAAAACCCTCGTTCGGATTCACACCTTCCGGTGTCAGTCCACGTGCTTGGGCTGCTGCTGCTTCTCTTTCAGCCGGAAGTGCACCCTGGTTTAGTCCTCGACTGAATAAAACACGGTGTGGGGAGTGGGTTCCCCGTGCTCCCCCAGCTGTCCCAGACGCACGTCCTGGAGTCTGTTCCAGCGTTAGCGCTGCAGGCAGGCACGAGCTTCTGGTTCTCGGTGGAGGCTGTGCAGAGGGCAGCCCCGTCCTTAGCTTTTTACCCTGCGTCTGCCTGTGCTCGCAGAAAAATCTGTAAAGGGAAGCTTAACCTTCATGCCCCGAGGCTACCGAAAAGTTATCGTTTAACTGCGGCTGCGACAGAGGATTTCTTGAAATACGAAAGTCTGCTAGTTGTCGCTACTCGAGCAGGTCCTAGCCTGCGTGCGCGGGTGTCAGCTCGCGCTCGCCCGAGTGTCCCATTCTGCCTCTGCCTCACACCTGGCATGCTGCATGTTCGGATTCTTGCTTCAGCTCTGGACACAGCTCAAGTAGGGGCGGGGAGGTAGAGTTAGAGATCTTGCAGGAGGGACTCAGAGGGCTGAAAGGAGATCTTTTCGTGGAGAGGAGTAGCGTGACACTGGAATCAGCTTCTCGCCACTCATTCAGACCGCGGTGTTCTCGAATATCCTTTCTGCTGCTTGCTGGACGGTCCCGACTTTTTCGGAAAGGAAGGCGGGGCAGCCTGGCCGGGTAGGAGCAAAGGACAGGAGGAGTTGGACCTGGGGTGGGAGGCATGAGTCAATTAGAGACCCAGCGTGCACTCGGGGAAGGTTCCGTGTGGCCCGAAGGCCAAGGCCCCGGTCAGTGTGGGTGTCAGTGTGATGCGGGAGGGTGCGTGTCCATCAGCTCCTTGACGGCTATTATCCAGCCACTTCTCTACTGCTCGACTTTTGTTTAATTTCTTCTTTATTTATGTATCTTCAGGGGACGGATCGTAGAGGAATAGGGGTGGGGGCGGTTCAGAACCATCTCATCTGAGTCTGTGCTGACGACTTTGGGAAAAGATTTGGGTAGGCTGGGGGTTTTGCCCGTTGACTGACCTGGGCTTTGGGGCTCAGCAGTAGACGGAGATTACTCAGAGCCTCAGCCCTCCATTGGGAGGAATCAGGTTTGAATGCAGCCGTCTCTCCGTGGGGGTAGGTTTGAAGAACCTCTGGCCAACTTGCTAAATGAGCAGCATCGTACGATGAAGGAGCTGCTGGAACAGCTCAAGATGAAGAGACCTTCGGCCAGACAGCAGCAGGAGGTCGAGAGGGTGAAGCCGCAGGGCGAGAAGGCCCAGCAGACTCTGGTTCTGGACCCGGCGCAGAGGAGGCGGCTCCAGCAGCAGATGCAGCAGGTGAGGCCATGCTGGGTCATCCGCGGCCCGACACTGCAGCCTAAAGCCAGGCGCTTTGCACCGGTCAGAGCCAGGTGTCTGATCCCGCTGACACCGTGGGGCCATGGGGCCTTCACAGCGGCGACGGCCTTGCTGCAGCTGTGAGTCCCTGTCGCTCGGGCAGGATGCACGCGGGGACCCCAATGGTCTGCAGAGACGCCGCAGTGACGCATCCAGGCTTAACAGCCTCACCGCCAGGGTGGTTCGTCCCTCTGTCTCATCTGTTTCTGTGATTGGAGGTTAAGCTTCCTCTGGTTCTAGCATTTGGCGCAAGGGGAACGTGTCTGGGGAATTCATACCAAGACACCGTGCCGCTCTCGTCCCTCCAGAGAGCGAAGCACGTGTGATCGAGTGGCACACGTCTTGCTGGGTGAGCTCTGGGTTCCTGAGATGACATCACATACATGTCACTGTTATTTTTTTCACTCCCCAGCACGTTCAGCTCTTGACACAAATTCACCTTCTGTCCACCTTCAACCCCAGTCTCAACTCGGAGGCCAGTACCACCAGGATATTTCTTGTAAGCGTCCCAATACCTGCCGCCCCCGAAGGCTCGAGTGCGCAGTTAGCTTGGCGGGTCATCTCACAGGTGCCCACCCGCGTCGCCCGCAGTTTCTCTCCTCTGCTGCATGCTCCGGTGGCTGTCCCCGTGGCTCCCGGCGTTTGCCGAGGACACACCGAGTTCCGTCGTGGGCGGGCCGCCTCACTGTTCTCGAGCGCCTTCCTCTGCGCTTTCTATTGAATCCTCTCCCTCATCTTTAGATCACCCTCGCTTCTTGGTTTTTGGCATTTTCATTCTTTTTACTGAATTCGGTATCCGTTCGTTGGGCTTAGTATCAGTGTATCAGTGATTTATGGGTAAGGTTAATTTTGCTCATGACATCTGGAAGTATTTTGGAGGAAAGGCTTTTAATTTAAAAATGTTAGACCCCATGAAGATTGCCCCTGAACTTCGGGGCAGGTGACGATGGTAGCCTCTGCCTCCCGGGTAAGTGTCTTTGGGGTCTGAGTAGCTCGTTGGCTGGTCGCCTGGCCTCCTCGGTAGTCAGCAGGGCTGACTCCCCTCTCACTGTGCTCAGAGGGTCATGAGAACGACTTCGTTCTAAGTGTTATTTGAGAAACCAAAGACAAACAGTTTTGAAAAGTAATGGCTCTCGCTTCCGGGAGCCTTAGCTTTAGCCGGAGCGAGACTGAACTCCTGCAGGCTCAGGACACTCAGGCGGAGCGCAGAGCAGGCACAGAAGGGCCGTTTCACAAGCGCAAGGACTCGGCAGGAGAACCGGCCCGGGGGGCGAAGTTAGTCGTGAGACTTCAGTGCGATTGCCCGTGTTTGTCCGACAGTAGGAAGGACAGCTTCACTCAGGCTGAGGGCTGCTTTGGCGTCACGGTCTGGAACTTAGCTCTCCTGCGTGTCTGGTTCCCAGGAGGAGCTAGGAACCTTTGCGCAGAGCTCCGTCGCCCTTCATCCGCTCAACCCCAAGTTTCAGACCTTGTTCCAACCATGTAACCTCATGGGAGCCGTGCAGCTCATCGAAGACTTCAACACGCACGTCACCGTTGACTGGAGCCCCCGTAAAGCCGTCAAGACTGGTAGGGGACACGTGTCCACTCCAAGTCGTTGCCTGGAATGGGGGCCGGGGGGCGGCCTTAGCCCATGGATGGCTTCCCAGGGATGGAGGAGATAGGATGCTTGGAATTTCTTCTGTCTTTTATTTTCCCTTTGGACTCGTTACCTAAGTTAGAATTGCATGATAACGTTTGGGCTTAGGTAAGGGATGGAGGCAGTGGACAGGACAGGGCGGTGAGGGCTAGCGAGGCAGGACTCCGTGCTGAAGAGTAGCCTTGGATAGACAGCAGGGCGAGTGTCGGGGGCGGGATCAAGACAGACTGAGGTCTGGGAGGGGTGGAAATCAAGTGCTGACGTTGAGTTGTGTTAAGTTTTTACTCTCCTCATTAGGATCATTTTATTTCCCGTAACGATTGTAGTGCTGTCTCCATTTTGATGAATGTTGATTTGGGACATGAATTAGAGATGTCCATTTGCCACGTTCAGTATTTTAAAGAAATTTGCAGGTTTGGTTTCTGCCTTTCATTGGTTCAGTATTTTTTGAGAAAATTCTTGCTTCTGATTTGTGTCCTGGTGCAGCAGGCTGGTTGGGGCTTGCTCTGGGCTTGGGTTCGTCCTCGGATCTGATTTCAGGTCCCTGACTCAGAGTTGTGTTGAGTGCGGCTGAATTTAAGTGCGTTTGGTCCCAGCCACGGGCCTCAGCCCACTGTATTCACTGCCCATCGGCTCTGAACTTCATTCAGCACCAGACTGCAGCAGTAACTTGCACGTGTCGTGTTCTGTGTTTTCGTTCTGGGGATATTGAAATGACATTTGTGGAAGGAGCAGTGGCTGTAGCCGTGCTTCTCTCTGGAAAGGCAGAAGTGCCCGGAGTCGAGGGGCCCAGCCAGGAAGACAGAGCTGAATTGTCTCCTTCCTTTTGTGGTTTTTTGCTCTCAGTCTCAGGAGGAATCTGGGAGAACGTAATGAAAGTTAAGTAGGAATCAAGTCAAATAAGATTTGGAATACCAGGATTTTGAGGGAGGTTGAAGAAGTTGAAGTCTCATCCTGGAAGAAAGAAGCATGGTCGAAGGTCACTTATCTTTCAAGGATTTAAGCGGGGAGGAGGTAAAAGCTTTTGAGCATACACTGTGCGCCAGCTGCTAGTAGGTACTTTGTAGGTGTGCACGTTGCTCAGTGTGTTACGTGTTCCACGCAGGGAAGAATAAGACAACCAGCTTTTAATAACATCGAACGGGACAGCCTGCTGGTGTATGTTAAGCTGAGAAAGTTGTGGAAACTTCCAGGTGGGAGGACATCAGGGTAGGTAGGGGCCGCTCTGTCTAAATGCGGAAATGCACTCAGAAGCTTCTGTGAAGGCCTCTTTGTTCTAAATTTCATTTATCACGGATTTTTTTTTTTCTTACAGCCTGTAAATTTCCCTGTTTGCCAAAGCAAGTGGCCTGGATCCTGGCCACGAGCAAGGTTTTCATGTATCCAGAGCTCCTTCCAGTGTGTTCTCTGAAGGCAAAGAACCCCCAGGATAAGAATTCATTCACCAAGGCCGAGGACAAGTAAGGCTGTGCTGCGGGGAGGGCACAGAGGGGACCCCGTCCTTCTCTGCAGGAGCTTCGGGGTCACGGGCGTGGGCCCCGAGGCGTGGACACAGGACGGCAGGACGGTGTCTGGGGGCGGGCGGGAGGCTCTGCAGTCCGCGCTTGCCTCAGCAGTGCCGCATGCTGTTCTTCTGGGGAAATAACACGCACAATTTTGAGACATTTTAAGATGGTTAGTTGTTTTCTTTAATACGTTGTAAAAATCAATCTCATAATACGTATCATTAGAGGAAATTTTCCAATGATTTTTCTTTGAATTTCTTATGTAATTATTGGCAATTTAAGTATAAATTTGTTTTGCTTTTTGAAGCCTAACTTCTCTAACTTGTTTTTCTACTCTCTATGCTGTAACATTTTTTTTGTCTCTGTAAATACCGTCTTTTTTTTTTTTTTTTGTGCCGACACCACCTGGTTTTCCCAGGCGGTCTCCTATGCAAGTACTGACCAGGCCTGACCCTGCTTAGCTTCCGAGATCAGACGAGACGGGGCGCGTTCAGGGTGGCGTGTCCGTGGACTGTATTGTCTTTTAGGGCAACATCACGATAGTCCTTTTATTTGCCGCTCCATCCCAAGCTTTGTAGGCTTCACCCAGGGTCTTTGTACGTAGAACTGTTGGAGTCTTTGAGTTTCTCTCTGGGTAGATTCCCCTGACTGAGATGACTTGTAGAGGTTACGATCATTTTTATGGCTCTCGATGTGTATTGCCCACTGCCGTCGGTAGGACATGCGTAGGTGGCCGGCATGGGACGTGTCACGGTGGGAGGGCGGATTGGTGCTGATTTCATGCCTCACACGGTGCCCGGGTTCATGAGACCCACCGCCTCACTTTGAGCTGGTGTGTGTTAGTGTAAAGCTCATGCGGCCCGACGTTTATGAGTGAGTTATGCTTCGTTTCCGCTCGCCCACCCGATCGCGAACTTGTGCCCGAGTCATGTTCACGGTGTTCGTTAGCACCCAGCGAGTGTCACACTTCCTGTTGCGTAGCCGTCAGCGTGTCGTGGGTCAGGTGGAGAGCAGTGGGGTAGAGCGGGGGCGGGTCCGGGGAGGCTCTTGGGAAGACTGGCCCGCGAAGTGATGTCGTGCGTGTGTCACTCTCCTTTCTCAGTCTGCTGGTTTTGGGACTGAAGCACTTCGAAGGGACCGAGTTCCCCAAGCCGCTGATCAGCAAGTACCTCCTGCCCTGCAAGACGGCCCACCAGCTGACCGTGCGGATCAAGAACCGCAGCATGAACCGGGCCCCCGACAACATCTTCAAGGTCAGCGGCCCCGCGCACCCCGCCTGTGTGCAGCGCGCTCTGCACCTCCCGGTCCCCACGATGAGGGGAGTCTCCGTCCTCTCGCCTGCCCTGGGGCGCCGACCTGCCCTCTTCCTCCGCAGGGTCAGCCGCCCCCGTCGTGGCGTTCTCCTCCCCCACATGTGAGATCACGCCTTAAAGTGTCCCCTTGGCCATCCGTCTCTTTCACTCTGACCATGAAGCAGCGGGTGGACGGCGCACGCTTGCAGCTTTGTCCTTAACTCTTCTTGTGTAGAGATTTTTGTCAAAATTATAAAGTAGACGTTTTAAAGAGGCAGGTAGCTTAAGTGCTTTGAAGAGCTTAGTTCTTTGAGGCTTGTTACGAAGAAAGCGTTTCTCCCTCTCTCCTGCCGACCAGGGCTTTCGGGGCATGGCGCGCGTACCTCCCTCCCTAGGTGACGCGCTTGCAGTCGCTACCACCTGCTCTGTGGGGCTGAGGCCTTATCGATGAAACGTAAAGCGTGGAAGGTGACGTCTTAGCGTTCTCCGCTCTCCCGTGGGCCCCGCAACGCGTGGACCTCCGATCATGTCACAGCTGCGGCCAGGCGGCGTGCGGGTCTTTGCTGGCAGCGCTGCGTGAAGGCCCCTGGGGCCGAGTGTGCCGTGGGTCGTGGCCGCTTTGCTTCTCCTGCTGAGCGCTGCTCCCCCGGGGTTAAGCGCCTCTTAGCGGGTGGGCAGGGCCTGGTTTTATGACATATTTGTTACCAGTTCAACAGTGAAGTTTTTAGTTTTAGAAATCTCTCATCAGTGTGTTCACATGTTTTGGGTGTTCTGTCGTTTTCATCCTGCAGGAGTCTGTCCCTGAGCCCTCCGGTGCTGCTCCCCTCTAGATGTGGGGCGTTCTCGGCTCTCTGCTCCAGTCTCTTCTTAGAATCCTTCGCTGTCGTGCTGGGGATTGTTTCGGCCACTTACTTGTGTCAGATCCCTTATTTCCTGAGTGCCACATCTGTTTTGCTTCCCTTCCTTGTTTTAGTGGCGCACATCCTAGTGGCGTCCTGAGGAAGAGTGCTCGAGAATCGGATGTTAGGCACAAACTTCCTGTGTCGTGGTGTTTGGGTCCTGCTGCTGTGCCAGGCACAGGGCTCGTGTGTGTGGCTGTTGCTGCCGTGCAGTGCCAGGCACGGGGCTCGTGTGCGTGGCCATCGTTGCCGTGCGTCAGATCTTACCGCGGGGGAGCTGCTCGTGCCGCCGTCACCACCGCCAGCAGACTCCCGTCCCCCAGCTTACCCGCCTGTGGCCCGCGCTTTGTGTGACGTCGCCGTCTCAGTCCAAAGCCCGGGGAGTTGTCCCGACTCCTCCTGCTTCATCGCGGCCTCGGTTCCTACGCCTCCGGCCTTCGTCACCCCTGGAGCAGTGCAGCGGTTTTCTAACTGGTGTCTCATTCCGCTCTGTTCGTTCTGTCCGTCCCTGAGGCTGCTGCCGTGGCGCCCCCCTCACCCTTCAGGGGACAGCTCGGGCCACTGGGCTTGGCACGGAGGGCCAAGCCCGCCCACCTCCGCCCTGGCTCCCGAGGCTTCTCCACACCCCTGTGCTTCTAGCCAGTCTGTCTCCTTGTGGTTCTTCAGACACGTTTATGGTGTGGACGTGACACACCCTCTGTCCTCTCCGCCTCGTGCAAGGTGCCCCCGATACACTAGTTGCACCCGCTCCAGGAACATATCGTTCCAGCTTGAGTTATGTGGCATCTTTTGTACACTCTTTTGTACCGTTTTACACAGTGTGGTTGGTGGGTCTGCTGGCCGTCTCCCGCTAGTGGGCAAGCTCCTGGGGAGCGGGAGCCGCTTCTCCTCCCCATGTGCTTGGCTGCAGCCAGAGCCTAGCAGGTAGGGCGCGCTCACGGCCCGCATGCACTCAGGTTCTCTCTTCCTTTACTGCTAGACCCGAGCCTCGTCTTTCCCTTCCCTTCTGGTGTCCGTTCTGCACTACTTGATTAAAAAGGAAGCTTCTGGGGGTGGGGGTGGGGGGGTTAGGGCACTGGCAGTGCAGCTGCTGGTGGGCGCAAATTCTAAGTGAGGGTGCTCTGGCCATCTGCTTCCTTTGCTCTGTGACCTGAACTTCCGCCTTGTGACCAGAGTGGAGGTCGTCGGTTAGAAGATATGGAGCATTGTAAAATATTAAATAGAGATTAGTTTGATTTGAAACGCAGAGGCGTTCATCAGGTGCTGTTTGTGTACGTGCATATGCGGACATGTGTGTGCGGGGTCTGTCTCAAGCCACTGCCCACCCCAGGCCCAGCCTGGCCGAGGGCAGTGTTTCTGAAGGGAGCATAACTCGAGCTGTGCTTCTTCACGCCCAGTTTTATAAGAAGACCAAACAACTGCCCATCCTAGGGAGGTGCTGTGACGAGATCCAGCCACATCAGTGGAGGCCGCCTGTGGAGAGGGAGGAACACCGGCTTCCGTTCTGGCTGAAGGTAGGCCCCGCTCCTCAGTGGACGCGTGGCATCCTCGCTCACCGCCACGTCCCCAGCACTCCGCAGCCTTCTCAGCAGTGGGTGGGACGAGCGCGTCCTGCAGGAAACTCAGAGTCTGGGGAGTGCAGTCAGGTGCAGTCTTCACGGCCGTTTGCTGTCTTGCAGAATCACCCTTGAGAAGGTGACCTGAGACAGGTCATCTAAACGTAGAAAGCCCCCCTTTTCTCCATCCCCAGATTGACGTGTGCTGGATCGGAGTGTCCTTGTTCCCAACAGGCCAGTCTGCCATCCATCCAGGAGGAGCTGCAGCGCATGGCCGACGGTGCCCAAGAGCCGGGCCACGTGACTGGTACTGCCGAAGTCAAGCCGGACCCAGACCTAGGGAAGGGCAGCTCAGGGCCGGGGGGCGAGACCCGGTACCCGCTGCTGTTGCCGAAGGCCGTGGTGCTGAGGCTGAAGCCGGTGGCCAACTGTTTTTCCAGGAAGGGCTGGAGGCAGAAGCGCTCATCCGCCCTGAAGCCGCTCCTGATCAGACCCAGCCCCTCGGCGCAGCCCAGCTCCAGCTCTGGCAGAGCACCCGCCAGGTCCGCACAGGCGGAGGCCCCGCCGGGCAAAACGATGGTCCGGATTCCTCCCGCGATCCAGCCGGCCACCGTCTTGCACGCGGTGCCAGGTGGCCCTCCACTAGGGGTCACCGGGGGTGATAGTTTCGAGTCTCCAGTGGCACTGCCTGTGATGCCCCCCGAGGCCAGAAGCAGCTTCCCTCTGTCCGAGCCCCAGACCCTGCTTTCTGCTCCCACGCCCAAAGTAATGCTGCCCTCGCTTGCCGCTTCGAAGTTTCGAAAGCCCTACGTGAAACGGAGAGGCCCCAAGAGGAAGGGAGTCAAGGCCTCTCTCTGTCTGAAGTCTGTCCCCCTCATCAACTCTGCACCTGTCATCTTCACGGTCCCCGCCACCACGGTGAAGGTCGTGAGCCTTGGCAGTGGCTGCAACGTGATCCAGCCTGTTAACGCAACTGTGGCCCAGACCCCCCAGACCATCCCCATCACCGCGCTCCTGGTGAGCCCCGCCCCCTTCCCCTGCCCCCTGAACCAGCCCCTGGCGGGCCTCCCCCACCCCGCCGTTAGTTGTTTCCGGCGTCTCCGTGGATCCTCCTGTGCGGCCCACCCCTGCGGATAAGGCTCAAGTGGTTTTGGACACCAGCTGTCCTTTGGGAGAAGGGGAAAGTGCCTTTCCAGGTCTGGTACCCAAGTCAGAACCCCGGGAACTGTCTCCTCTCTGCACTACTGTCTGCCCCAAGAAGGAGTGCAGCCCCGGGCCCGTAGCAGCAGACAGAGCGTGCCGGGAAGACCTGTCGGGCAGTGGCGCCTACGTCTGGACGGTCGTGAAGACAGAGGGGGGTGGGCAGGTTGTGGAGCCACTGGCTCAGGGCTTCCAGCCGTCTCTGAACTCTCTTCCTGGGGATATGGAAAAAGTGGTCAAGATGGAGCCTAAGGACCCTGGGGAGGAAGTCTCTAGCGGCTCCCCGGAGCCGGCCGTTTGTGGCGGAATCAAAGAAGAGCATTCCGTGGACGTGGACGCTGGCTTCCCACGCGAGGCGCCAGGCAGCGCTGCAGAGGCGAGGAAACAGGCCTCGCACAGGGAGGAGAGGGGTCGGCCGGCTAGAAGCCCCGCAGCTTCTCAAGGGCCTCCCACAGCGGGGGACTCAGGAGACGGGAGCAAAGAGTCTCCCGAGAATGCGCCCTCCTCCACCGACCCCGAGGGGGTGCTCACCAGCCCCCCAGGGAGACCCGAAGATATACCCAGCGCGGATGGTCAGTCGGCGGGGACTGCAGCTGGGCCCGAAGCAGGAGGAGAGAAGGATGGGCCGGAGGAAGAGGAAGAAGAGGACTTCGACGACCTCACCCAGGATGAGGAGGACGAGATGTCATCAGCTTCCGAGGAGTCTGTGCTCTCGGTCCCGGAGCTGCAGGTGCGCGTCGGGCGTTCTCGGGTGGTTGTGGGCTCGGGGATGCGGGCAGTTTATTGGCGGGCCGCCTGCTTGCTCGCTGCACCGGAGGTAGTCTTAAGATCATTTTTGACGTTTGAATGCGTTGTGGGACACAGCTCGGGTTTGAGGTGAGAAGAGGGAAAGGGAGAAATTTTACATAACACACTTGACTTAAATGCGTTTAAACGTTAAATTGAGTCACTCGAGCACGCTGTGAATGCCTACAAAACAGATCGTGTGGGCTGCAGTGAAGAAAAACCGTGCTGTCCAGCAGCGACCCCTGTGACTCCGCGGTGCGGGGACCGGGCTCTGACAGTTGGGGGGACCCCCAATTGATTAGCCTCAGCTCCTCCCGATAGAGCAGGCGGTGCTCGGCGAGCCCTGCCCAGCCCTTGTGTGCACTCTTGGGGTCTGCAGGAAACGATGGAGAAACTGACTTGGCTGGCGTCCGAGCGGCGCGTGAGCCAGGAGGGTGAGTCCGAGGAGGAGAACTCGCAGGAAGACAACTCGGAGCCCGAAGAGGAGGAGGAGGAGGAAGCGGAGGGCATGGACAGCCTGCAGAAGGAGGACGGAGCGGCAGACGGAGCCATCGGGGGCCTCGCTGAGAAGCCCCCCGCTCCCTTCGCCTCGCCCGAGGCCGCCCCGGAAGCAGAGACCAGCAGGACGCCAGCAGGTGGGTTCGCGGCGTGTCTGGGCCAGGTCCCGGTTGGCCCTGTTGCCCAGAGGACGGGCGCAGAGAGGCGAGCTTTAAAGCCAGGTGGCGAGTGTCCGGAGGAAGTCCCCTGGGTGCCCCCGCAGCGCCCTTCCCCAGAGCAGAGGTTTAAGTTGGTGCCTTCGCAGATCAGGGGCACTCCAGACGTGTGAGTGGGTTCTCAGCTGCTTGGAGTGTGAGGCTTCTCTGAACTGTGCACTGGCCTGTGATCACCCGCAGGCACAGTGCCAAGGGCTGTGCTCACTTCACAGACACGGCTTGTCCCTCAGTGCCGCCGTCCCTGGGGAGTCCTGCTGAGGGCGCATGCTCTGGGACTGCTGACTGCAGAGCTGGCTGGACAGACGGCCGGGCGCGGCCAGCCCCTCCCCAGCAGCGCTCTGCCTTGTCAGGACCACCACCCGTAGGCTTTGGGTGGGGCGGGGTCGCAGGGCTAGAACATGCTCTCTCTGTCCCCCATGTGCTCCGAGCAGAGGGCGCCAAGGCCACTGGGAGGGGCCGGAGCTCGCACCGCGCACGCAGCCGGCGGGGAAGCCGGGCCCGGGCCAGCAAGGATGCGTCCAAGCTGCTGCTGCTGTACGACGAGCACATCCTGGAGCGGGACCCGCTACGGGCGCAGAAGGACCTGGCCTTCGCGCAGGCGTACCTGACCAGGGTAGGCTCGCGCGTGCGCTTCCCCCGTCCAGGCCGTGTCCCTTGGGGCGTCTACAGCGCGGTCTGCCTGCCAGCTGCGTAGCAGCTCCATGCCCCTGCCTTTGCTCTCCTGGGCTGCTGGGGAACCCCATGGAGGTGGGGTTCAGTCACAAGCAGGCTCACTGCTAGTGTCTCAGCAACACCCTTCTGCTGTCTAGGAATTGGGATGCTGCCACCGTCAGCGGGTGGCCATGGCTTCTGTCGCTGGGTAGGCCCGTCAGGGCCTTTACTGACCTGGAGACGCTGGCCAGAGTGGCTCTCAGGGAAGTGACTTGTTTCTGGAGGCACGAGGCAGCCTGTCCCTGGCAGCTCCCTGCGTAGCTGTCATTTCGCTGACCGCCTGGTCCCTTCACCCCGCCTCCCCCTGCAAGGTGGAGCACGAACAGGGACAGGCATGGCTTTCCCTTGCCTCCTGGCTTCCTAACAGCCCTGGCTATCATGTCATTGACCCTCAGATAGCACCATGTGGCCGGAGAGCAGGCAGCAAACTCTGCTCGCTGTCAGTGGCGCTGGCGTCGGGAGGCGGGGGGCGGGGTGCGGGCTGGAGGACAGCCCTCCTGGCTCTGCAGGCAGGGCTGTGGTCCCCAGGAAGTGGAGCGCTTTAGTTGCCCACTACCGGAAAAGGAGCTAGCTGTGCCTTGCTCGTGGCTCTGTCCGTCCCCAGCGCTCTGGGGACCCGTTGCAGGCGTGGCCTCCAGGGCTCTGACAGCACGTCCTCCTTCCCGTGCTGGGGCGTCTCTGGGTGCGGAGCGGGCACTGGTGACCACGGTCTGTCTGCAGGTGCGAGAAGCCCTGCAGCACGTCCCTGGCAAGTACGAGGACTTCCTTCAGGTCATCCACGGTTTCGAGTCGGGTCCGCAGAGGCAGACAGCTGTGGAGCTCTACGGAAGCCTGCGGCTTCTGCTCCAGGACTGGCCGCAGCTGCTGAAGGACTTCGCTGCCTTCCTGCTGCCCGAGCAGGCTCTGGCCTGTGGATTGGTGAGTCGGCAGGCAAAGACGCTGGGATTCAGCGACGTGGGTCGAGGGTGGGCGACAAACCCTGTCCGGTCCTCTGAAGGTGTCCAGTCGCTCTGCTTCCCCTAGCCCAAGGCTACAAGCACTTCCCAGCCCACGCCCCGTTCTCTGTACATGTGGTGTGGGGTTCGCCTTCAGTCACCAGTGAAGGACCTGTTAAACCGTGTGCCCTTTGCTCTCGTCACTGGTGTGCAGCAGGCGTTGTGAGTGTCTGCTGCATGTCAGGCGAAGCCCCAGGTACAGGAGCGCAGTAATGAGGAAAGACTACGACTCTTGCCCTCACGGCGTGGATGGTCTCGATGTTGTGGGGGAAGTTAGATGATGAACGGCAAAATGCGTACGTTGTAAACATATGTATTATAAAAATTATAAAATGCGAACAGTGAACTATAGTACGTAATCTTGTATAACGAGACCACTGTGAGGGTCTCTAGGCAGCTATGTGGCCGTGGGTGATGACGTGTTTCGTCGTGAGGATTGGATGAGGGTATGTGTGAACGTCCTTGTAAACTGTGGAATGCCACACGGATTTGAGTTTTCGATGTCACAGTCCAGGAAACGGTAAACAAGTCGAGACGTGCGCTGTCATTCACCTCTCGAATCTTCCATTCACGTCTCAGTTACGTGTGTCGCTAGATGCCTGTGATCCAAGGGTAGATGCTAGGGTCTCAAGAAGGATCACAGGGCTGTAAGCCAGAGTCCCCTGTGCCCCCGCCCGTTTCCCTGGCTCTTGCTCTGGAGCCCTGAGCCCTGCTCCAGCTGTGCAGGTGACGCCTCTCCCGCCGTCTTTCTCCTTCGTTAGTTCGAGGAGCAGCAGGCTTTCGAGAAGAGTCGCAAGTTTCTCCGGCAGCTGGAAATCTGCTTCGCAGAAAACCCTTCCCACCACCAGAAGATCATCAGGGTGCTGCAGAGCTGTGCAGACTGCCCGCCACAGGAGGTCACCGAGGTGCCCCCCCAGCCCGCTCGTGTCCGTCGTCGTCGGGGCGCAGGCTCTCCCTGCCTCCTCCGTCTGAGCTAGTCTGCAGCCTCTGGCTTCTGGGGCACCGTGCACTTCTTGGGGTGGGGCAGTGACTGGTCCCTGCAGGCTCAGGGGTGCCATCACTGCCCTGGGCGGAGAGTTTTGGGCAGGAGGTGATGGGCTGGGAGCCCATGGGGCAGAGCGTGCTGGCTGGGAACGCGGTCTGCGGGGAGCATCCTCCCGCGTAGCCGGGCACCGGGCAGAGGGAGGTCCAGGATTCCCAGCTCTCGGGGGCGTCTGTGCGGCTCTTGCAGACCAGGGCACCTCGAAAGGAGAGGGGGCTGACTTGGAACGCGGCCTCCAGAGGCCCTGTTGACTTCATCTGTTCCTCTGCAACTCTTCCCAGCTCAAGACGCAGATGTGGCATCTCCTCAAGGGCCACCACCACTTGCAGGACGAGTTCTCTGTCTTCTTTGACCACCTGCGCCCAGCAGCCAGCCGGATGGGCGACTTCGAAGAGATCAATTGGACTGAGGAGAAGGAGTACGAGGTAGGGGCCGAGGCCGAGGCCGCGGGTGGGTGGGGCTGTGCAGGAGGGGCCTGCCCAGAGTCCGTGCCGAGTGGCACTGCCTTCTCCCCAGTTCGATGGCTTCGAAGAAGTGGCACTGCCTGATGTGGAAGAGGAAGAGGAAGCTCCCAAGACACCCACAGCCTCGAAGAGCAAAAGGAGAAAGGAGATTGGGGTCCAGAGTCACGACAAGGTAGACCCGGTTATGGGGGTCACCGTGCTCCTGGGTCCGGCCTGAAGCGCTCGGGCAGCGTGCGGAGGAGGGGGCAGGGGCCTGGGCCGGGCGGGCTTAGCTTCCCGCCTGGCACCAGGAGCGTGTGGCAGCTGACCAAGCCCAGGCATCTCCTAGGAGGCGGAGTGGCCAGACGGGGCCAAGGACTGTGCCTGTTCCTGCCACGAAGGAGGCCCCGATTCCAAGCTGAAGAAGAACAGACGGAGAAACTGTAGCCACTGCAGCAGCAAGGTGAGGAGGGGCTGGCGCCGGGAGCTGCTCCGAGCCGGCCCGGGGGGCCGCAGGCAGGTGTCGCTGCAGGCCCTGCTGAGTGCACGGGAGCGCGTGCGCAGGGGGCAGGCTTTGAAGACACGCTATGGGTTTTGCTTTTTGAAGAGAACCGTGGGGGTACAGCTTTTGCAGTTGGAAAGAAATCAGCCAGTTCAGATATTTCCTTTAGTTTTTTTAAATGAAATAAACCTCGGCCAGGAAAGCGCCGTACTGTGAGCCGGCTCTGTTGAGCGGCGCTGGCCGGCAGCGGGGACACCGCAGTGGTTAGGGGCTGCCTCCGGCTCAGGGCGTTCGGAGTCCCAGGAGCGGGCGAGCGTCCGGCAGGGTCCCTTCCTTCAGTAGGCCCCTAAGACCATGGAGGTCGGGACACTTGACCCTGAAGGCCATCCCTGCAGGTCTGTGACAGCAAGTCCTACAAGAGCAAGGAGCCCCATGAGTCGGGGGGCGGCAGCCCCCACCGAGAGGCCAGTCCTCCGCCTGGTGCTAAGGAAGCCAGGCTGGGCAAGGACGCGATGGAGGAGGAAGCCCCGGAGGGGCGAGAAGCTGCGGAGGCACCTCCGGGCAGGCCCAGCCGGAGTTCCCGAAGAGGAGAGGTGCCAGCCCCAGGTGAGTGACCAGCTGCCGGCCAGCCTTGCTCCCTGTCTGGATCTGGCTCTGGCCATCTTTGAATTTGGATTAGCAGCGATCTCTTTAGGGACAGAGCTTCCTGATGACCCCTAAGACGCTCCTGTGCAGTGTGGCCCCGTGGCCTCGTGCCTCGCGGAAGTGGGAGCTCAGTGGAGCCAGCTGTTGTGCTCCTGCACCCCACTCCGAGTCCCCGGTCTGCTGCCCATTGGTGCACTGCATCCTGGAGACTCGGCTGCCCAGGTGGCAGCCGGCCTTTGCATCTACATGAGGGTCCCAGCCACCTCGCCCTCCCCCTCGGAACTCTCCCCACAGCAAGGGGGGGACCCTCCAGCAACCCCGCGGCAAGCCGTGCGCCCTGGCTCCTCCGTCCTGCATGGACCTGAGCCTTGTTTTCCTCCTGTGCAGGGCTGGCCACGGGGAGCACTTCGCTGGCCCCTCAGGAAGCGACTCTCACGGACCAGCAGCTCCTCCCAGGTGGCCCACCACCTTCCTCACCAGAGACTCCTCAGTGTCCCCCCCACGCTGAAGCTGCGTCAGACACCACAGCCAGCCAGCCTGGGCCTAAGGCGCCCCCCTGCCCGGACGTGTCCCCCGGGCTTCAGGGTGGGGGGCTGGGCCTCAGTGCAGCAGGCGAGTCGGAGGCATCTGTGCCCATCTGGGGCGCTTCAGAAACTGAGAGACGGCCTGGAACTGTGGGTCCCCCTGCTCCCTTCCCGAGTCCTGTTCCCTCAGGGACCCGAGACTTCGGGAGCAGGCAGGTGTCCGGGAAGCCAGACCATCGCGAGGGCTGGCTGCCTGTGGGCAGGGCCGGGGCGCAGACCTCAGATGAGAAGGCTGTTGCCCATGAGTCCTCTCGGTCGGGAAGTGACACTACAGAGACTTTTCCCAGAGCTCCTCGGGGGGGTCTGGCTACAGACAGTGGACTGCAGGAGAGGGGTCCAGAGGGCGAGCAGCTGCCCAAGGCCGCCGAAGTCACAGTATGTGCCAACAACAGCAAGGTCAGCTCCACCGGAGAGAAGGTGGTGCTGTGGACAAGGTGGGTAGGCGTGGGGGCGAGTGGGGGATACCTGTCACCAGTTTGGGACTCACTGCGGCACCTGGCTTACAGGGAGGCCGACCGCGTGATTCTGACTGTGTGCCAGGAGCAAGGGGCACAGCCGCAGACGTTCCGCATCATCTCCCAGCAGCTGGGAAATAAGACGCCGGCCGAGGTAAGTCGGGAGTCTGCCAAATCTCAGATTCCGGGGTGCCACGGACAAGGTGCAGCGGCCCACCAAAAAGGCAGGGCGCCCCCGAGGGAGGGCCTGACTGGCCAGGTGGGTGAGGCAACCCGGGAAGTGGCCCCTGGTCCCAGGCTGGCTTTGCTGTTAGGAGCACAGCTGTGACCAAAACGTTGGCCTCAGCCTGAGGTTCTCATGTCAGGGCCGTGGCCCTCGCAGCCTTAGTGGGTGCGACAAGCTCGTTCAGCTCAGCATGCGGTGCTTGGTGTGCAGTGTCACTACCGTGGGGACAGGGACACAGCCGGCCTCTCCCCCAGGTGTCGCACCGTTTCCGAGAGCTCGTGCAGCTCTTCCACACGGCCTGCGAGGCCAGCTCCGAGGACGAGGACGACGCAGCCAGCACCAGCAACGCAGACCAGCTCTCCGACCACGGGGACCTCCTGTCTGAGGAGGAGCTGGATGAGTGAGACGCGGGGCGTGTGGACCTCGTCTGCCCAGGGTCACACCCCGGGGGCAGCCTGAAGACAGCCGGGGTGCGGCCTTTGTGCATGCCCGGGCTCAGCGTGCAGGGCTGCAGGAGCCGGGCCGGGGACCAGGACAAAGGCAGACGCTACTTGGGGTCTTTTTTGAAGACCCTGGAGTCTGCTTTGTAAATAGTGTCGAGGGGCGTGGGGGAGACGGGCTCGGCGCCACAGCCACGCTGCCCCGTGCCCAACGGCGCACGTTCGTTTCCCGCGATCTGAACACAGCGCGGGTGCGCGCAGCCCCCACACACGGCTCCCGCACCAGCACTTTTTATTGTGAGCGAGCGAGCGCCCTCTGTTCCTGGGGCCTCAGGCCTCGAGGCTGTCCCCAGCACGGTAGCACTGGGCCAGGCCGTGGAGCTCCTGCAGCAGCTCCTGGAAGTCGTCCCGCTCCACCCCGGCGTCCATGAAGCTAGCCCAGCGCCGCAGGTCCAGTGTGCTCAGCTCCTGGGCCAAGTCCCCGAGTGTCCGGTTCCAGGAAGACGACGAGCAGAGGGCGCCGAGCACCGGGATGCTGTCCACCACTGCGGGGGGTGGGGGTCACCTGTAACTGGGTCGGTCTGCACCCTGGAGCTGAGGCAGGCAGGGAAGGCTGGGCCTTTGGGAGACTTGATGTAAAGTAAGCTCAATAAATCGTGTGTGCTGTCCCCTCAGTATGCCCGTGCTCCAGGGGAGACCCTTCTCGGGAAGCAGGTTGGACTGTGAACTTTAGGATCTTTCAGTCGGGAGGGAATAGAGTCAGGGCCCCCTGCCCCGGGCTTGGAGTCTTGCTCATCTTTGCCTCCCACGTACCTGGCCCCGTTGGGGCAGCGTCTGGAACCAGGCCCTGCTGGTGGAGGCGTGAGAAGAGGCGGGGGTAAGGAGGTGCCACCTTGCAAGGAGCCAGCAGCAGATGGGCAGAACTGAGGGCCAGAGAACAGCCGTGAGACACGGGCAGGGAGGCCAGGGTCTGGGGTGGGGGCAGGCACGAGCGTCGCACTGACCTCCTGGCCCTGGGCTGCTGCTGCTGTAAGTACAGGGCCAAGACCTCCTCCCCAGTGCTGCAGGCGTGGAGTGGGGAGGGCAGCGGCGTCCCCGGGGTGAGGTGGCTGCTGGAACAAAGCCAGAGCCACTCTTAATCTGGGGCGGCATGAAGGACACGCTGAGTACTCCATTCTCTGGCCGCCCGCAGACTCGGACGCTCTGCCTTTTCTTTAAGGTGAGGTAGAGGGAGGAAGGGGGGCAATGCGCGACACTGTCCAGAGGGCCGAGGGAGAAAGGGGCCCGAAGCAGAAGCTGGACAGGCCCCGAAGGACCCCGGTCCTCACCTGGTGTGGCACGCTCTGTCCAGACCCCGCAGCACCACCGACTGGGCAAAGCAGTGTGTTCCCGATGGGTCCCCACACGCAGACAGTGGGGTCCACGGGGTGGCCCCTCCAAGCTGCACCAGGGTATCGGGAAGGGACTGGCTCGGAACCAAGGGGAAGGGGATGGTGGCTCCTGCTGTCACCACCTAAAGGTAAGGACGAAGTCAAGCTGGAGCTTCTTCCAAGTTGTGACTCCTCCCCACAAAGCCTCGTACCTTTTTCCCGGAGTAGTTCAGCATCTCAGCCAGGTGAACCATGGACACTGGCGAGGAGTGGAGGCGGTAAGGGGCAGTGACTGTGTCCAGGGCTGTAGCCAAGATGGCACTGCAGTGGAAGGGCAGAGCGGCCTGTGAAGGGGACACCGGGAAGGGCACTTGGCCTTTCGGATCTGAGAGAGGGTGGAGGCAGAACTGGGGCCTTGGGACAAAGCAGGGGTGTGTTTGGCCCCAGGCTGGACGAGTGTGGGACAGTGGGACTTAAGAGGCCATGTCATAGCTGAGCTCAAGCCGAGGCTTCGAGTAGACCCAGGCGGGGCCCCAGGCCTGACGTACGTCGTAACGCAGGTGAGGAAAGTGGACGGCCGGCTCGGGCCGCAGCCCCAGGCTCCCTCCCAGGGACAAGGGGCAGACCAGGGAGCTGTGAGCGGACAGGCGCGCCAGGCCAAACGCAGTGTTCAACAGGCGGTAGACGTTCCTCCGGGGCTCCTGCGGAGAGCAGAGCCTGTCCTCAGCGGCTGCCCCGCTGGGTCCTCCTCGTCCTTCCCTCTCCACACCGTGCTGTTTCTCCCCCAGGTTCTCACCCCAAGAGCGTAGGGGCCCGGCAGCAGGCCCCAGGCAATGATCCCGCGCCCCGAGTACTCGTCCTGTAGCAACTCTGCGGCCTTGGCGCCGACCCCAGAGAAGCCATCGTGCAAGTCACACAGGACCTGGAAGCCCTGGAGGGGGGTGGATGGTGTGAGAGGGAGAGACGGGCGCGTCCAGCCCAGGGCACCACGCCGCACAGTCACCTGCAGGTAGTCGCACTCCTCCACGTAGAAGTGCAGCCTGTCCTCCAGCTCTTCCAGGTACCTGGGCTCCTGCAGGACACGCTCCCCCTGGCCAAACGCCTCCAGGCGGCCGGCTTCGCTGCCACGCGGAAACACAAACCCGGACTCAGACGACCCCCGTTTCATCTCCATCCCTCCCCCCGAGAGATCCTGTCTTCAGGGAGCCTCGTCCAGCATCGCTGTGGACCCCATTTCTTGCCTTGTGGTCATGGTCCCCCATACCCATCATGGTTATACTTCTGGATCATGCAGATGCTCCGGGGGTGGAGGTGGACTCTGAGGAAGTCTGACCAGACCCGGATGCTGCCCTCTGTGGGCATAAGTGGCTTCGGACTCGTAGCGGTGGTGAGTGGAGTGGGACCTGAAGACAAAACGGAGGGGACGCACCCTTCACGGCCCTGCTGCGCCCACTCCCCGCCCCGCCAGTACCTGGGCAGGTCTCACCTTTGCCATTGGGGAGGGATCTGGTCCTCCAGATGCCATCGCTACTCAGCGCCCCCTGGGAGCCAAGACAAAAGTCTACACTTAGTTCCAGTCAGTCAAAAGGCAAACCCTGGTTTATCCTGATTTTTCTGGCCACACCCTGCAGCCTCCCTTCCGTTCATGTCGCAGGCCTTTAGGAAGGAGGCTGCTCTCTCCCCAGAAACCAGTCCCAGAGTGTAAGATTCAAACCGTCTATCCCTCGGGCCCTGGTGGGGGCTCTGGGGGGAGTGCCGGGTCTGAAAGCTCAGGGCAGAGGCCCTCACCTCTGCACTCAGCAGGTCCTGGAGATAAGGGTTCTTGGGATGGGGTTCCTCTTTGTGTGTGGTGAGCTTCCCCTGCCTGAAAGAAATTGGAGATCATAGCCACGGTTGCCCAGAGTTCGCCAGCTTCCTGTGTACTCCCCCCAACACCACAAATACCACGCGATCGCTGCGTCCAGCTGTTTGTCCCTGTAGAGTCCACCTTCTTGTTTTAGGGAGTTCAGGCTACCTGCGCAAAACAACAGGCAGTGTTGGGTGACAGCCTAGTCCCCCCTTCAGCTAATCCTCTGATTACTGGACAACCTGCTGTCACCATCCCTCCAGCACTTGGTGCTTCCAAGTCTTCTCGGATATATAGGAGTTGCGAAGAGAATAGAATCTAGACTCCATCCTTTCCTAAGCTGTGGGACCTGGGGCACAGGCCACACCGGCGGTCTTACATGAGTGCCACAGTCGATACATGTCACTGTCTCCGGGGACTAGCAGCCCATTCCAGAGATAGCTCTCAAACGGAATAAAAGTGGCCTTTTTGCGTCCCTCGGGTGCTGGCGTGTTTTGGGGGCTCCCTGGACTCCTCGTCCGCCTTCAGCCTCGTGTGGTTGGCGGATCTTGAAGCGAACGGATGCTAGAGAGCCCGCCCGCGAAGGGGAAAGTGGCTGACCCCGCCACCGCCTCACCCTTCAGGTCCATGAGGATGAGCCTCGGCGTGTAGGTCTCCTGGCCGTGCAGCGTCCGGCCGGCCCGGTACAGGACGTCGGGGCACAGCTCCTCGGGCGTCTCCTTGGCGTGGGCCGGTTCGCGCAGCGCAGCATCCTGGGGAGGCAGGTGCGCAGGAAGGACTGGACTCGGCCGGCGACAACGGCCGGCCGGAAGTGGGGCCTGGGGACCCCCAAGAGCTCCGCGGGGGCCGCCGCCCGGGGACCTCACCTGCTGGTTCCACCAGTGCGCTCCCACGAAGCCCGCAAAGTGTCCCAACTGCAGCGTGAGCACCTCCCGGGACC